AGAAAACAATCCGAAACGACCGAAAAGAAAAAAAGAAAAAGAAAAAAGGGGGGAAAAATGTTTGCTTTCCATCGCGGATAATTACTAGATCTTCAGGAATAGTTGAACGAATGTAATTCAATGTGGTCGACAGCTTCCTCTGGACATTTCGAACAAACTGTTGTCCTTGTTCTTGAACAGTTTGTGACACGCCTACGTGAATGATCACCCTTTGATGAACTAGTGCCCTTAAAGAAATTCAGGTCACGCGGCCATTCTACCTCGTCTCATTTACGTTGGCCAACCTCGTGTCCCGGAAATACATCCATTAACGTAGCCATCATATCATGGCTAGCATCGCATCGGTAATGGTTCGATGCTAAGTGGCTCGCACATGATAGGGCACATTACGCGTTGCTTTGCTCGCGAGTAACTCGAAGAAATCGAACGAGTCGTCACGTAGCATTCTGTGTCGATGAATGACGCGTGTGTACCAATGTTCGGCGCTTTTCAAAGAGGCTTTCGCCATTTTTTGGAATTTTCTTGAAAACAGAGAAAAATGTTGCTCCTTCGTTTTATTTTGTGAAGGAAGAAACTCACAACAATTGATCAACTTCGTGGAAGTGTTCGATGGGATTTTTGAAATTTTCGAAAATGGAAATATTCCTAAAATGAAGTTGATCGATCTGGTAGCTTCTGAATTATTATTCCCTGATATCTGTAAATTTATTCGTAGCTTCGCTGCAACTAATGGTAAGTATAATTCATTAGTTCCAAGACTCGGGAATATTATTTCTCGAATAAAAGTTTTATTTGGCTATGAAATTTTTGCAGTTGAATAGCAACGAAATTACTCGAATAACGCTAGAAACCATCGACGATTAAAGTATAATATTCGTAGCAAAGAAATTGAAGTGCAAGGTAAAAATAATGCAATAAAGAACACGAACTTCTATTGATATATCTCTCGTTAAAAATCACTCGAATACTTAAAAATGTATAAAATTTCCGTAAAAAAACTATAAATTGACCACTTTTTCGTAGTTTTAGTGTCAAATAATGTACAAACACGAATAAGAAAATAACAACAGATCAAGAAGATGCAATGCATAAGTGAGAAACTGATCTCAGAGAGTATTGTAACTTTTCCGCATTGAAAATGTAGTACGATGCACTGAAAATGTAATTTTTGTTTGATCTAACGAACTTTACGTAACGCAGAAATGGACACGAATGTTAATGACAAAGACACTTTTTCCAACATCAATGACATTACATGATCCAGACCAATGACTTTGTCTGCTTAAAGTCGTTTATCTTCTACTTATGAAAGCTACGGCTCTTTAATGTCTCAACCTTCGTTGAATCATACGAACGGTATTTTCTGCTTTAACCATTTGAGCGTTTGAAATTAGCTTGAAATTAGCGAAAGTGTAAAAGTGTAATGTATCTAACAAATTATACGAATGTATCTTTGAGCATTTTTAATCATTTTTTCCCAGCTTTTCGATATATTTATCAAACATACTGTAATGTGTTGTAACATATATTATACGTTATCATAATAATAATACATATACATAATAAGTAAATTATTTTATTATCAATTGTAAGATTATTTGTACGATACTCTAATCCCAATTAAACGCTCGAAGGTTCAAGCGTTCTTCGTCTGATTGCGAGTGAAATAAATGTAGAAAAAAGTATGAAAAACGTATGAAACGTATGAAACGTATGAAAAAAAAGTAAGAAGCACGACAATGTAGTTCAACGGGGAATCATTCAACGATCAACATGTTATAATAGCGACTAAAATGTTCGGCTTTCGCTATAATAACGGTTTCGCAAAGTAAGAGCAGCTGAACGCTTAATCGCATGACTTCGCTATACGATGAACAATCATGCATGCCCTAGTAACACATAATCGTTCTACACAGACATAAATACACGAGTCATAACACACAGTAATTGCACTATGGTGTAACGATGACGTGTTTGGACGACCAATCGAGAAATGATTTCAATTTGCAGTGAAATCGTTCGTCGATCATTTTGCAAACTTGCGCAGACAGTTTTTGGAAAAAGAAAATTAAAAAAAAAAAAACATAACGCAGAAGAGGGAATTCATATTGTCGCTATTGTGGACATTATTTAAAAAAAAAAAAAAAAAAAAAAAAAAGGAAGAACTTCCGCTAGAAAGGAAGCAAGTTTTCAATAAAACGAAGAGAGAACGATATCACACAGTGAAAAAGAGAAAGTTCTTCCAACTAAACGAAAGCGCTATTGACGAACGAAAAGACAAAAAAGAAAGAAAGAGAACTATTTCCAATAAAAAAAAAAAACTACTACAGAGTCACCTACAAAAGAGAGAAAGACACTATTCAATCAAAGAACAACTACGCAAACACATCGATAGTTTCCAAGAAGGAGAAGGAAAAGTAGCACACTAATACCTCTCCTACGTGTGTGTGTATGTGTGTGTGTAGTAAAAAACAACGAACGATCACGCACGAATAGGAACGCACTGACTCACCACATGAGATCTATGATGCTGATGATGCATTGTATGATGATGATGATGTCTCTTCTCCTTAGCGTGATGCTTAGCATGATGCTTGCTGCCCCTGTGCGGCGGGTAAGTGTGATAAAAGATCAGGTCGTAGCAAGGCTGGCGTCACCTGACCTCCGCCATCTCGCACTTCGACACCTCTATCTGCCGGTTGTTCGGCTGATTCGAGACGGTCACCTGGGCCGGGCAGTTGTTGTGCAGCTTCCTAGAAGCGGCGTTGCTCGTCTTCTCTCTCTCGTCGTTCTGCGCGGCGTTCTCCAACGTCAGGTCGTTCTCGTCCAGGTTGACGGTGAACGCGATACGATGATGAGGCGGCGGCAGCATCTTCACGTTGGTGCCGATCGGCGTGACCGTGGTGGCCGGGTCCAGCTTGACCAGGGCTGCTTGCAATTCCAAGGCGTCCATGTCTCACGGCGATAAGAACAACAACCGTCGCCAATCCAGCCTCTCGAACGGCGATGAAAACCGGCAATTAATCGATCGATCTCGACGAGACGATCCGTCGGAGTTATCGGACAGTTCGACTATCGGCTGACGTCCGATGAAAACGCTGGTCCATCCATTTGAGGCGATCCAACGCCGAGTTTCTCCTCGAGTCTTTCGCTCGTTTCTCGTTAGTCTTCTCGTTATTATTCCTCTTCACGTGGATATTTCGAGAAACGGGGCGGGATCATAAAACAGCAGCTTGACCCTTGGATTCTCTTCCGTCGTGCATCGAATCATCACACAAATATGCCCGGCCCTATTTTTACGCTTCTGTGGCCGCGTACACGGCCGCTTCTTCTTCCTTCTTCCCGAGACTCTTTCGAGGCTCGTTTTAACAGACTTTCGCGCTTGACCGAGCGATTCTCGCCTGGTCTCG